TGTGACAAGAAGAAGCTATAAAACGCTCCTAACGGTATTTTATAGCAAGCAAGATACCTCTCCATTTTAGAGCTTGTCCTTGAGCTGAAAGGAACCAGAGGGCATTAATTTCTTGCTTGCCAGTCTCTTTGGATGGCACAGGAAGCTGGACATGGCTGAATCCGGTTCTTCAAATGGTTACAGGGATTTGGCACAGGTTCATGGATTACACAAAACTGTGATGGTGCTTTCCAAGATGATGCAAACCCTCCCCATTGCTTATGCTGACTCTTGAAGCTTCATGTTTTGAAACAAAACAAGGAGATAAAAACTGAGGCCTTTAACTATGGTAGTCAGCATAATATAAGTGCCTGAATACGACAACTGAGATGTAAATGCAAACTGAATGTAAAAAGGTTGCAGGGAGTCCTTGCTGCAATGCCAGCCTGGAGGTCACCTTCAACCTAAGGCAATGTTAAAATGTCCCCTTTTCCTGCAGCCTTACACTTAAATTCTGCCCAGCAGTGCTCCCTGTTGCTCACTCACGGAGGAAACCTGCAAGGACGGGTGGTCCTTGTGTCGCTGACGGGGGATCACAAATACACGCTCACAGGGACAGACATCTCCCACAGTCTCTTCCCAGCTACTATAAAAACATTCACTCATTTATTATTCAAATTTAAATTGCAGGAGGCATTCTTTGTGTGATAGTAGTGCCTAGGGCCCCAGCTGAGATTTTGGTTCAAACCAAAAAAGTTTTTAATGTAATGAAAGAACAGGCAAATTTGGGAGGGAAAAGCAAAGACAGGGAATTGGGGTGACTTTTTAAGAGCACGGCTCTAGGCTAGAAGCACCAGTTTGCCTACCCCCCTCCTTTTCCTCACCCCCTCACCAGGAACTTCTCATACTCCAGACACCTCAATCTGTATCAGTGTCCCACTTACAGTGTGGCACGTGGGCTGCCAAAATAAATCCTTATGAATTTATGTTTATGCATATGTCACAGCTCCGGCTACAGCACAGTATAAATACATGTGTGCAAGCTTCAAGTCAGCTGGATCCAACACGGGCTCCAGAGAGATCTGCACAGCTTAACTTTCCATGCACTTCCCCAGCACAGTAGGGAAGAGCTGCAGCATGGGTGCATTCCCCAGCACCTAACCTAGGTAACGTTAACTCAGCACTGGCACAGGCACATCACGCTGCAACCGCCGCAGTCATGTACCCTGAAGGGCACTGTAACAACTAACCAGAATCACCATAAATCATAATATATCTGACTCCCAAATCAGAATTAAACCACACCATTATTAGCAATATTTCCTACACTGTCTTTTTTCTGACTAGCTGAATAAAAGTGTTCAGGGACAGTGGTATGCTTGCTGACACAAAATAAAATAAAGGCTCCTATTCAATCACTTAGTTGCTTCCCTGCAGGTATGACAAAGGACAGGCACCCTCTAGCCAAATGTTCAAGTCCCACAGGCTGCTTTTGAACCTCTCAATGCTCAGTGACCACCCTGCCTCTGCCAATGTATGTTACGCCCATCACTCGTTTTCTAATGAGAGTTGTCAGGCTGGACAGAATAGTTGTCTGACCGTGTCAGCGTTGTCGGGGGACACTGTCCATTGCTCTGGAATCAGAGTAAGTGCTGGAATCTGATCTGATTTTCTTTTTGGACAGGCAGATAGCTGTACTCTATTTATTTAGCGCCCTGTTTGTTTACAGTGTTTTAAAAATGATTTCCCAGAAAAACAGGAAAAGTGAAAAATAAGCATAGCTGTACTCTATTTATTTAGCACCTTGTTTGTTTTCGGTGTTTTAAAAATGATTTCCCAGGCAGAAAAACAGGAAAAGTGAAAAATAAGGGAGTATTGCAGAACAGTTGAGCTAAGATCTTTAAACTCCATTTTTCAAAAGCATCCACTGAGTTTAGATATAAAAATACAGCTTACTGACAAAACCCAGTCACAGATGAACTTTTATATGGCTAACACAGTGGGTAAACTGATAGCAAAATAGGGAGTTAGAACAGTCTTAAATCTGGCACATTGCAACAGATCTGCTTTCTGCTCTGCTTCGTGAAGCACAGTGGAATTGGCACAGGAGGCTGCCAGGGGATTGCTCTCCCTGCCTCTGCCAGCCCTGCCTGCAGCTTTGAGCCGCATATGTGCTATAAAGAAGAGCTGACAAGATGTCCTGTCGAGTCATTGAAGCCGCAGTTCAGAGATGTGTCTCAATGCAGTGGCTCAGGTAGCGCAGGAAGGATGTTCATTGGGGTACCCAAGAAATCAGCCAAATAGTTGAGTTAGGCTATATCAAGCTCTTTGCCTAAACCCTGCCAGAGCTCACAAATCCCGGCTTAAAGTTAGAGGAGGGATAAGTCTACACAGCAAAGTGAGGCTGACTTTTAACCTAAGCACTGGACTTCCCTGATTCTTACCATAAACTGATCCCACCTCCTGGTCCTGCACAGCATCAGTGGTTGCAGGAGCTCAGGTTAGTCCTTGCCCACTCATTCGCAGCCCAGTGCACCCACAGACACAGCTCAGTTGCCTCTCACGTTAGAGATTTCTGCTCTACATGTTCTCCCAATAGTCCTTTCCTGCAGTTGTCAGCATATACAATTGTATACAGAAATATATACAGGGTTTGGGAAGAAAGGAAGGGAAGGGATTTTTTTTCTGGCTTTGCTGTCCTCCTCTTGGAAATTATGCACAGAGTTATTTAAGGGAAAGATTTCAGAAGTCTCCACTATTGGGGAATTCTTTCACTTCTGGGCATCCTGCATAAGTCACCTGCATAAGTTAAAGTGCAATAGTCAAAAAAATTGCGTGCCACAATTACCAGTCTTTTTTAAATCACTGACCTGAGTCTTTCTAGTCTTCCTCATCTTACCTTTCTGTAATAGAGGAATCATATTAGTTTGCAGCCTTATAAAGATGCAGAGAATTTAAATTCCCCGGTGTTTGTGCTTCATGACATATTCTACCAAAATAAGGTATCATCATTCAGTTTGCCCTCCTGGAGACTCAAATTATTGTTTTTTTCTGTTACTTTTAATGTAGATCACTCTCTATTCTGAAAGGTTTGAAGAATTTCAGAAAACATTGACCAAAAGCAATGAAGTGTTTGCCAGTTTCAAACAGGAGATGGAAAAAGTGAGTAAAAGCCTATTTCTGACCTCCATGCTAGATACACTCCTTTTAGGTTCTGACATTTCTTACTGCAATAATTTTATCTAGGGTGGGGACATTTCTGTCCATTTTGGAGAACAACAAACTCATCAGTGTCCAAATAAGGTTTCGGGAACATTCAGCCATAAGAAAGTATTAACATCTTATTTTGACATTTTGCATATATTTTTCATTTCTCCTCTGATAAAGAGACAAAAATAATAATAATTCCACCTTTATTTTGTCTTTTGTTTTTGCATTAGTTGGTATTCTGTATGTTGGCTGCTCTTTTAAACATGTAATTAATTGGTCCTACTTTGGGACTTCAGACTAGAGGCTGAAAGTTATATGGCAGAAATTTAAAAGCAAATCCGTCCCTTAACATAAATTATTATTTAGCATAATCTTTACAGTTGCTGATAGTCAAGTTATCAGTACAACCGAAAACCTAAGTAAAGACGCTACCCTAATTTCATGTGCTATGTAGAATTAGTTCTGTGAACCAGCTTTTCTTCCTGCTTCTGTAGATGACAAAGAAAATGAAGAAGCTGGAGAAAGACACTGCTACCTGGAAATCCAGGTTCGAGAACTGTAACAGAGCATTACTAGACATGATTGAAGAGGTGAGCAGTCTTTTTTTTTTTTTTCCCTCCTGATACCTCTTCTGCCACCTAATGCTTTTAAGGGCAGATGAGATGACCTGAACCTGACAAAAGTTGATGAAAAGCTTGTTCTTTCTTTTAAGGGTTCCTTTTCAATCTATCTTGATAATGAGACGTTTTCAAAGTAAATGACAGAAACCACAATCACGATCAACTGCTGGGTCTTTTAGACTGTATGTAGAGACATTCATTATGTCCACAAGAAACTGAGTTATGTAATACTGTGAATTTTAAGTGCTTGGAAAATGCATGATTGTTAATGCTCTTACGCTGAAATAAGTTGGCATTAGTCCACTTAATGCTACTTTCTTTTTGCCTAAGAGCAGCCGCTGATGGAATTAATGTGCTCCAGCTAATGAACTTTAAATTCATACCTTTCATTAATTTTCTGTGTAGGAAAATTCTAAAAGCCAAAAGCAAGTACTGTGGTTCACCATAGTTTTAATCAGGCTGCCATAGAGGCATTGCAGAGGAAATTAGTAAGCGTTGTGGAACTCATTCAAACAAGATAAGAGGCTTCCTGAAATTTCACCCCAACCATACACTGAATTTGGACCAGGTCTTTCTGAGTTAGTTTTGAAGCTCCGAGGTGCTACTATTTCTCTGGACATCTGTATCTCTTGATTTGTCATTGAGTATAGAAGCAAGAAAGTGTTTCAATTCAGGCTGCTATCACAGAACCTAGAAGCAAAATAAACCAGAAGTATGATATAGCCTGTGTCCCCATAATTCCAGCCCAGTTCCATCTGAAGTCTAGATAAGCTTTTGTGTGGTTTTCTGTACAAACATCTGGCATGTTCTTGCATCTCTCCAGATCATTAACAGGTATTCCAGCACATATTTATGTGTGAAATTGATCTGAACCTGTAGGAAGAATGCTAATAACCCATGATAACAGTAGTGAATTTCCTCTCAAAACTTCAGTGCTTAAGAGCATTATTATTTTGGAGTACTTCATCAATGTGCTACTTTTCAAAGCTCTGTGAGGAATGCCTAGGTCTGAAATTATTTCCTAATTGCCAGTTCTATCACTGAAATGCATACGCATGAACTCAGGCTGTGTCTTTATGTCTTTGATCACAGAAAGCCATGAGGTCCAAGGAATATGAGTGCTTTGTGTTGAAAATCCAGAGGCTAGAGAATCTTTGCAGGGCTCTGCAGGAAGAGAGGAATGAGCTGTACAAAAAAATAAAACAAGCCCAGCTCCCTGAAGAGACAAATGAAAACGACATCTCTGAAGACGATGCTGATATGAGCCCCTCCTCCTCTGAGACGGCTTGTACTGAGCTGCCCACTGCTGACCAGAACATGCTGAAGGATCTGGCCAGAGCTTTCATGGTGTCCCACACTGCAGAGAAGTCCCTCCCGAGTGAGACCAGCGCTGCGGAGACCTGCGACACTCAAACTTGCAATGCTCCTTCTCCCATGGCATCAGAGGTCACCTCTCATCTCACCCCATGCCCAGAGGCCAGCAGCTGCTCTGAGCAGCCCAGCACAAGCGCATCGGCACCCACTAAACATGTGCCCCCACCAGTGCCCCTGGAGAACGCACCAGCACCCCCCGAAAACATGGCAACACCCACCGAGGACATGCCAAAGCCCACCGAAAGTGTGCCTACACCCCCAGGAAGAGCACTAACACCCACAGAAAATGCGCCTCTACCTGCCAAGAGCGTGCCAGGATCCATGGAGAATATGCCAGAGCTCACTGAAGACACGTCAGCAATGTCAGCACCCACTCAAAACAGGCCCGCTCCATTTGAGAATATGGCCATATCCACACAAGGTGTGCTGAAAGCTGCAGGATGTGCAGAAGACCCGGTGGACCCACCTGTTCAAGCTCAGTCCACAGAGCAAGCAGCCTATACAGACATGGAAGCAGTAGACTGAAGTCACTGCTGTGTTCAGGGCTGTCTTCTGCAAACCATAGCTCTACTTTGTCCCCAGATCTGAAACCTTTTTTCTTTTTTTTATAAATGTAAAGAGTGGGTGCCAAAACACTCATACATATCTGTAAACATAACTAATGCACCATCAAGAAAAAATGGGCCTGAAAATTTTGATATATTTCATCTGCTTGAAGCAGTATTTTCTTGATGACAGGAAAATATATATATATATATATATATATATATATATCTTTTTCTTTTTTCAGGCTTAGTGAGTCATCTTATTCAACAAAATAATTTTAAATTATTGAAGTTTAATACTTCAAAAATAATTGCAAATCACATACAGTCTCTTCATTAATTGTATCTATTTGGTGTGATGTTGCACAAAAGATGTCCTACTTGGACACACAGAAATTTTAATAAATTAGATGAAAGCAATTTTTGTTCAAAAGGTAAAATAATGAAACCATCTATGTGGTCAGATATACTCAAGAAGCAGTGCAGTAACAAAAGGTGTATTTTTGAAGGAATAAACTACCACTTGGCACGATGTGAGCTGAGCACCCACATACTGTTAGCCTTACCATGAACTGTCTTTTCTCTTTAATGCTCTAAAAGTGGTTTAGTTTTCAACAGAATCACAGGAGAAGAAAGAATCATTTTCCTAGATTCCTCACGATAAGACTGAAAATAACCACAGTTTCCAAATCGATGGCAAATCCCAAAGTAAGGGTCACAACCCTCCATCTGCACGCAACAAAAACCTACTAACTTGTGATATCACTTGGGGTCATGAACTCAACAGAGGGGCACGCACCTATTTCCAGACCATAGCTGAGCAAAGAGGTTGGAATTTCAGATTCTGGTGCAGATCCTGGTGTAGGCCAAGAGCGGAAAGTAGAGGGGAGCTACACCAGAAGGAACCCCAGAAGACATCCCTAAGGGAGCGCAATCTCTCCTGGTCAGAGCCATATGAACTCCATTCACCAAAACTTTTCCCTGGTGCTGCAGCGTGTACTGATGTGCCCCAGGACATGACTAGTACACTTGCTTGCTGACCCTTCGTTGGACTGGACGAGTAGCAAATAGGCACCAGTAAAGCAGGAATCCCTCTAACGGACACCCTTAGGGACCAGCTACATCCTCAACCACTTTCACATCTAATCAGCTCTTCTTATCTGCCTGCCAATGCATCATTGCTTAATAATTCAGCCACCTTGTGAAAACTGCCAAACCAGAAACTGGCTGATTCTGACATCAAGAACAAAGATGAAGAAGGAAGGGAATAAGACAGTTGTATGGTCTCAAGCAATGAGAATCAGAAGACTTCTTGGGAAAAAGTTAATAAATCCTGTCAGGCCATTTCCTGTTTCTCATGCCCTTCCTCTAAATTCAGTTTAGGCCTTTCAGATTCTGGTCTAAAGAATGCAAGAATATGAAAAGACTGATCAAATGAGACATCAAGATGCTGAAAAGGGAAATGTTACAATTAAACATTTGTATTTAGAAAAATCCCCCCAAACCTCTGAAAGCCTCTAGAAAATGATTCATTCAATCTGAAGTTGAAATACAAGTGCTTCAGGAGAAAGCATACATCCTTGGATGACTGTGGTCACAGAGTCCTTGTTGCAGTCACCCTTCAAAATTAATTTTTGCTTATTATCAATGTGGTCTGCACTCCAGTTGCTGTTCTCTGTCTGCACTCCTTGGCCCACCCTTTTGGAAAGCTTACCGTTGAAGTGTACAGAATCTGCAACAGTTAGTTGTTTTGATATGGCCTTACTAATAGCTATTACGGCTACAGTTTTCCAAAGCCTTATATAAGGCACTAAGAGTATTAGGATTCATTTCATGTCCTTAATTGACTGAAAGACATTCAAGACTTGGTTATCTTAAGATCCTTTATCAGTAATGGAGAAGAACAGACATCTTTGGAGGACAAGTCATCTGATGGCAAGACTGGCATCTAAGATAGACGAAATGATTTACTCTTTGAAGACGTTATTTCTTCCTATTGATTCCAGAGCCAGTCTAATATGAACAGCTTAGATTGAAATGAAAACTCTTAGATGTCTAAATTAGGCAATATTAACTCCATCAGACATGCATACAGCACTAAGCAAATGTCCATCTCAGAAAATCAAGCCACTTTTATGTCTAGCATTAAAAATGTAAACCTATAGCTCATCTCTTTACTAAGAGGAAAAACTATACCCATTTGAATTACTTTCTTTTGTTTCCATTGACTCAAATCTAGTTTCTACTGAAAGTACAAGTTTGGTTTGCTGTTAGCATGATTTTTTTAATTAATGTAATTTATATGCCCATTAAATGTTTTCTTTCCTTGGTTTTGTTTGATTCTGTTAACATTTTAGTGTTTGCTTGTGTGTAACCAACTTTTTCAAGTAGCCCTTAAAACATCCTTAATTATTGCACTTTTTTATACATTCAAATATTCAAATACATAGTAACAATAATCCAATACATTCTAATTGTAAAGACAAGCATTTAGAAATTGGAAAATACCATCGTTAATGATGTCCTTGCAACTCTCCTGGTTCCCTTTTGCATAATCACTATGGTCATGAGTATAGTGATGATTTTTGCTTCATACCTTCCAGTTTCAGGAAGTAAGGAGATAAGTTTCTACAGATAAAAATCTCCTACATAACCGTGGTTGATTTTTATAGCATCATCTCTTGTGAATAATTACATGACTGCCCAGGAAAATCGTTCCCATGCTATTCCTTCTTTCTTGTTTTGGTCTCTTAATTCTTGCATCTGAGTCCATACCCTCACGCTTAAAAACCTATTATTCCATGACTTCCTACCTAGGTGCCTGTTGCTTCTGTTCTCCCAAACTATTTACCTATCTTCATGTTACCAGAAAAGTTTTCTCTTCCTTCTCAATACATATGTACAGGCTTACATGAATAGCTCCCTGACTTGGCTTCACACATGGTCTGCAAGAGACAGGAGAAGAAATTAGAAGGAGATCCTGTCTGATTCCAGTATGGGTGGCCCTGCTCATACTAAGGGGATGGTATATGTGTAATCTCGTTGCTTGTGGGAGTCGAGAGCACTCTTAGTGCAGGCAGATGTTCTGTAAAATTCAACCCTGTAGCTATGTTTAACTCCAGAATGACAGATCACTGTCACAGCTAAGTATGTTAATCTGCTTTCTGTCCTTCTTCAACATAATTTTCTCGCTTTCTCTTACTTCCCTTTTGTACTGCTACCCAGTACCAAAGCTGCTTTACAGTGTGGCAGCATCCTCATGAAAAGCCTTTGGGATTGCCATCTGTACACCAGCTCTGCTGCACCTCCCTCAATTACACCTGCACTCAAGACACAGTCACTTCAAAACACTTCAGTGATCATTCAAAGACAGTAGCAGATAGCACTAACTGCACTAACAGGGTTCTCTATTGTGCAATACCATTTTTCTACTTAAAAAAAAAAAAGACTAATGAGCATCCTCCCTGCTTTTCATCCTTGTCATGCTATACTGACTACTGATACTGCCAGTCTTGTCAATCCTGGTGTGTGCTGTATTTGCCTCCTTTAGTGTTGCTTTGATTTACTCCCATATTGCCAAGTACAGGTTTACTGGGGTGGGATCAGGAAAGGCGCTGAAGGTGACACCATCCACTGCTGTGGTGCTTTCCAACTACCAAATCTTTGATTTGCAGAAGTTGCAAACGAATAACCAAAATATTTCCCCTTTCCACATTTCTGACCTTTGTCACCTCAAAAATGTAACAGCTCCCCTACTGAACATGTAAAAACCGACATTTTACAACAACCCATAACTTAGCCAAGTGTGAGGGGATTTTCATGATGACAGCTAAAATTATATCCGTAATGCTAATATGACCTTCTCACCTAATTTCTGATCCCTGTGGCAGACCACAGTACAGATAAATCTTCATGGTCAGGGAGTAATAAGAAGCATTTTTGCCCAGCAAAACATTTTTTTCTGTGTTCTCAGTAACCATTGATGTTTTAACTTCACTTTTCTCAGGAAAAAAAAATGAATGAAGTAGATAGAGACAGGCATGGAAATATTCAGTCCAGATCACAGAACTTCAGCAGTATGATAAGCAACTGAAAGAAGGGGTATATAATAAAATGTGGCGCAACTTTTAATAGAAGCCTCACTATTAATGCCATCCTTAAATTCACTTTTGTCAATCATATCACAATCAACTACATATGCACCAGTCTCAGGATTCTCACCGCTGTTCTCTCTCTGCAAGGAACAGTATCACATGGGCCACACATCAGTACTGAGTTTATTATTTTGTTTACTTTAAAAGGAAATAATAACAGCACTCATTGATCTCGTAGGCCCCCAAACTGTACAAATTCTCATTTATATATCTATAAATTCTCATTCAGTTTGTATAAATTCTCATTTATACAAACTGTCTGTATTGTCATTTATACAAACTTTCAACTATGACCATTGCTTGGCCAAGGGTCAAACCTAAGGAAAGGATATAAACCGATCCTAACTCTGTCCCCGAGGCAGTCTGCCCAGCTAGGGCACCACAAGTCAGCAAGAGCCAGCTGGATTATGAAATAGGGGGAAGGACAGGAAAGGGCAGACATGCAGAATGGGCATTTGCTGCACCAGTGCTTTTCACTTCCCTTTAATTTTCTGCACTAACAGGGTTCACTATTGTGCAATACCATTTTTCTACTTAAAAAAAGACTAACCACATCCCTTTCAAATATGCAGGAGGCGGTGATGGTTGTGGCCCTGGCAGGACAGTGCTGTCTGGCCCAGCGCTCAAACCCCAGAGAAACCCAGAAATGGGAATATGAGCAGTGCTCATAGCCTCAAGGCTTCCCATGAGTTCAGACAACCCCACAGTCCCAGACATTCGTCACGCTTGACCCAACATAGGGAGCCAAACGGCAACGCTCATAGGATGCAGATGACTGGCCAAGTCGTTGGACAACCGCCCCTCCACAAGCACAACAAAAACTGGC